GTCTGCTGGAGCCACAGTCTGTCTTACTCTATAATGTGGTTTTTGGACTGCACGCTGAAGTCACAGTAGTCAGCACCGCTGTCTGTGAAATCCACCCTGAGCGAGGAGAGGATGTTAAACGCCTCAGGATCCTCCCTGCGGAGCTGCTCCGCCATGTGAAACCCATCAACCACTTCACTCTCACCGCCCTGAGCAGCCTGACGGACACAATGCAGGAACTGCACCTACAACCAGAGGAATTACAACAGAAGTCTTCTCGTGAAATTAATTATTTATTCTATTATCTATTTAGGGTGTAATAATTTTAATTAGATTAATTAAAAAAAAAAACAATACAGGGAAGTCCCATCATGATCTAAAGAATGCATATACTCACCTTCATGAGTAACGCACCACAGTATGGTGTGTGTGTGTGTGTGTACTCACTCCAGGTGGATGGTGCAGAGCAGGGTAATCTGTGTGAAGGCTCAATTCTCCAGAAGTGTAGGCAACATTGTTAGCCATGGGCTTGTCCTGCACTTGCCATGTGTGTCTGTGAAATCATAGAGGGGGCGATGGATCAGAACAGGTGACTATGGGCTTGTAAAGTTTTACTGCATTTCTCCATGTATTTATTGTAGGAAACCACAGCAGTAAAATGCTTACTTGATTTAGTACGGTCTTGAGAGTAAATTTAAAGACTAAGGAATCACTTCAATGAACAAAGCAGACATTTTTGTTATGGCAACGCAGTGCGAGAAATGAATAATGATTTTTAATGATTTAAAAAAAAATGTAATGATTAATAATGATTTTTTTGGTAGTGAATTCTTGAAACTACTCACTGCATAGCAAAAAATGACTACTTGTAATTACTATTTTAGTCTTTTATTTCAGAAGTGTATCTGTGTAAACTAAGCTTGTTTTAAAAAATATATATATCTTGTATTTTTATGTATCTTAATTATTTTTCCTATTTTCCACATTGACAAATTGTTTTTTTTTTCTTCACTGTTTTAAGCCTAAAATTAACTGAATCTGAATACAAGTCTTAAACAATTTTGTTTATTTTCTTTGATATTTTACTGGAAGACAAATAAAATAAGAAATACTTTTTTGCAAGACTTTAATAAACAATAAAAAAGCAAATATGGATTATATAATGTTACAGAGATCACTGCTGGCTTATCCAGAACCAGCCTTTTTGATTCAGTTGAGTTCTTCAGACACTATTGGGGTCACATGATACGATTTCAAGTTTTCCTTTCTCTTTGGAGTGTTACAAGCAGTTCG